ATCCCTGGGTGATTCCTCCTTCCCTCAGAGATATCCCTGGGTGATTCCTCCTTCCCTCAGAGACATCCCTGGGTGATTCCTCCTTCCCTCAGAGACATCCCTGAGTGATTCCTCCTTCCCTCAGAGACATCCCTGGGTGATTCCTCCTTCCCTCTGCCCCTCAGAATATCCCTGAGTGATTCCTGCTTCCCTCAGAGACATCCCTGAGTGATTCCTGCCTTCGCTCTGCCCTCAGAGACATCCCTGGGTGATTCCTCCTTCCCTGTGCCCTCAGAGACATCCCTGGGTGATTCCTCCTTCCCTCAGAGACATCCCTGAGTGATTCCTGCTTCCCTGTGCCCTCAGAGACATCCCTGGGTGATTCCTCCTTCCCTGTGCCCTCAGAGACATCCCTGGGGTGACTCCTGCCTTCCCTCCTTCCCTCAGAGACATCCCTGGGTGATTCCTCCTTCCCTGTGCCCCTCAGAATATCCCTGAGTGATTCCTCCTTCCCTCTGCCCCTCAGAGACATCCCTGGGTGATTCCTCCTTCCCTGCTTCCCTCAGAGACATCCCTGGGTGATTCCTGCCTTCCCTCTGCCCCTCAGAGACATCCCTGAGTGATTCCTCCTTCCCTGTGCCCTCAGAGACATCCCTGGGGTGATTCCTCCTTCCCTCTGCCCCTCAGGGCTGCATCCATTGTCCTGAGGGCTGTGGGATTTCAGCACAGCCCCGAGGATCTCCCAGGCCTTTAACACCTTCCCAAAGCACAGGGCAGCAAATCAAGCTCCCTTTTGTTGGAATGCTGATTTTGGGAGAGGAATGGCTCTCCCAGACCCCAGGGGTGACGCTGCTGCTGACACACAGAGAATTGAGTGGGACCAAAACAAATAATCCAACAAAAAAGAAACCTCATCTCCTCTGTCCTGGCTCTCCGGGCTGCTGCAGCTGCCCTGGCCCTTTGCCCTTCCCTGGGGCAGGTTGGATTTTCCCCTCAGCCCCCAGAGCAGCAGGAACCATCCCTGCTTTGCCCCTTTTTCCTCTCCTGCCCCTTTTTCTCTGGGGAGCTGCAGTTTCGTGCTCAGCTGAAATTAGATTTGATGAACTGCACCTTCTACTTGATAGGAATAATGAAGGAAAATGCTTTGAAAGTGAGGTTTTAATGCTAATCTTCACATCTTGCTGTTCATGAGGTTCCTTTTCCTTCTGTCCAACTTTCCCTGGGCTTGTCACAATAAAAATGGAATTATTTGGAATTTTGCTGTTCTCATTCATTAGAGTTCAAGTGTTCAAATAAAATCACTCCAGACTGATTTATTTCTGTTTTCACTGCAGCAGCACAAGCAGCAATAAACCAATTTATGCATATTTACAATTGTTGTTTTACCCTGAGTACTGTCAATGGCAGCTGAGGAGAAAATGACAGAAAATACTGCTCTTAGAATGTCAAAGGTTCTAATTTATAAATGATGGCTCTGGAACTCAGCTTTGCTTGCAGCTCTCTTAATTTGAGCTTCTTTATAAAGTTATTTCACTGTTAGATTGCCATGGTCCTTTTAATGCTTTTGGTGCTGTTTTGTGCACAACTCCTTTCCATTTTGCCCTTTGAAAAACGTTTTATTCCTAATTCCTTTTTTTCTTCAACTTGAAGACTTAGGAGAATTTTTTTTAGTATGAAATAACAGAAATATTGTAGTTATTTTCATTTCCTGTTGGATCTCTACGTTTATAATGAAAATTAAACCCTGTGTTGAACTGAAATACTTGTACAAGAACTTTAAAAATTGATCTAAATTCAGATTATAATTATTTTTATCTTTATTTTTTCCAGACTATGAGAAGACAAAGAAATGAAGTTGTCGTGGAGTTGAGAAAGGTGAGATGACCCAGAGTTTTTATTCTTTTATTTTCTATTATTACTCTTTTATTTTACATTATGATTTTCACCAAGTGGGATTTGACTTTATTGTTACTCTGATAAAACGTGAGAGTTTTCGTTAAAGACTCAAAAATTCTGGAGTTTTGGGAGTTCCACAACTTTTGTCCTGCACACCAGGAGTTTATTTGTGATCTAATTAAGGGGCTTCATTCTTGCACTTCTAGAGGTTTTTAAAGATTTGGTTTTTCCTTTAAAAATCAGCTGTTCCTGCTCATCTGCAGGCAGAAAATTATTTCCTTACAGTTAAGTGTGGAAGAGTGTGAATGTAAAACTGGAATTGTTGGGAAAAAGGAATCACAACTGGAATTATTTTTCTTCTGAGCTGAACAGAAAACCTCTGGGAATTTTGTGTCCTGTTAGAAATGATGACAAATAAACTGGAATGTTGATGGGTGTGTGCACATCAGCCTTCCAGCACAAGTTGGATGCAGGATTTTTTTAGGAAGAATTCCCAAAATGTGTTTCTGGGCAGTCCTTTCCAACTGTTTTTGGAAAATTGAAGTGTCAGTGCTGGTGTATTTGTGATTGTTTGAAACAGAACACCCCACTCCCCCTAAATCCAAGTTTTAAAGGTGTTCCACCATTTTTCTCTTTAAGAACAAAAGAGATGAGCATCTCCTAAAGAGAAGGAATGTTCCCCACGAAGATATCTGTGAGGATTCTGATATTGATGGGGACTTCAGAGTGGTAAGAGTTAACTTGCAATAATTTCTTCTTTTTGCATCCTTAAAAGACATTTGGAATTTCTGACTGCTTCTTGTCTCTGTTTTCCAGCAAAACACTTCTTTGGAGGCAATAGTACAGGTAAAAACTATGACATTGTTTGAATATTCTTCATGGCATGATGACAGATGTGTGAAAAATCTCTTTTCTCTTATTTCAGAATGCTTCAAGTGACAACCAGGGTATTCAGTTAAGTGCTGTGCAGGCAGCAAGGTAAGAACACACTTCCTTAAATATCCTGATTTTAGTCTTATTTTATCATGCTCTTAATGTCAGAAAATGTGTTTTAGCTTAACTGAAATTGTAGTAATGAAGTGATTTTTAAAAGGGAAATAGAACTTTGAGGAAATCAGAAGACACAGACCTTTTGTGTAGTGTGGATTTTATTTACATGTAAATACCTGGATTTATTTTGGTGCAAAATACACACTTTAAAGGACTAAAATACACACTTTAAAGGACTGTAACATCTTTGGCTTTCAATGCAGAAAAAGCTGAGTGTCTCCTTTTGTAGGAGTTGGAGCAGAATAACTCTTATCTTTTATTTTTCTGACTGGTGATAAACTTCCAGAGGGGAAAAAGCATGGAATGAAATGGATATAATGGCTTTGCTTTTCCAGTGGCTCCATAATTTCACTTTGGGGGGTTATTTTCAATTAAAGAGGAGGCAACAAATGCTGTGGGTCTGTGGGAGGAGGAGGGAAACCCTTGGGAAGGAATTCCCAGCCCAGCAGGAGCAGTTTGGAAATGCCAAACACTGGAATTTCCCAAACTCCATCTCCATTGGAGATCCCAGACTCAGCCCCAGGAGAGCCTTTACTGTGCTCCAGTGGCAGCACTGATCCCTTTTTGAGGGGAAAGTTGGATTAAACAATTCCCTGCTCCTTTCCAGGCGGGATCTGTCAGCAATTTGGTTTTTGTCCATTTTCCTGCAGGAAGCTGCTGTCCAGTGACCGCAACCCACCCATCGACGACCTCATAAAATCAGGAATATTACCTATCCTAGTGCACTGTCTTGAAAGAGATGACAAGTGAGTGCTGCCACAACTCAGAGCATTCCCCAGTTGCTGCTGGCCAGCTGTGAGTGCTGAACCTGTGCTTGTTGTGTCTGCAGTCCTTCCTTACAGTTTGAAGCTGCGTGGGCGCTGACAAACATCGCCTCTGGCACCTCGGAGCAGACCCAGGCTGTGGTTCAATCCAGTGAGTGCTGCAGTGGGGGGGGGGGTTGCCAGCCACGGCTGGGGTCGGGTTGGGATCAGGGTTGGGTTTGGGATCGGGTTAGGGTCAGGTTTGGATTAGGTTGGGGTCAGGTTTGGATTAGGTTTGGGATCAGGTTTGGGATCACATTTAGGATGGGTTTGGGATCGGGTTGGGGTCAGGTTTGGATTAGGTTGGGGTCAGGTTTGGATTAGGTTTGGGATCACATTTAGGATCGGTTTGGAATCAGGTTTGGGGTCGGTTTGGGATCAGGTTTGGGTTTGGGATCGGGTTGGGGTCAGGTTTGGATTAGGTTGGGGTCAGGTTTGGATTAGGTTGGGGTCAAGTTTGGATTAGGTTGGGGTCAGGTTGGGATCAGTTTGGGATCAGTTGGGGATCGGGTTGGGGTCAGGATTGGGATCAGGTTTGGGATCAGGTTGGGATCACGTTTAGGATCAGGTTGGAATCAGGTTTGGGATCGGTTTGGGATCAGGTTTGGATCAGGTTCGGATCAGTTGGGGGTCAGGTTGGGATCAGGTTTGGGAACGGGTTGGGATCAGGTTGGGATCAGTTGGGGATCGGGTTGGGACCGGGTTTGGGATCGGGTTGGGATCAGGTTTGGGATCTGTTGGGGATCAGTTTGGGATCAGGTTTGGATCAGGTTGGGATCGGTTCGGGATCACGTTTGGAATCGGTTTGGGATCAGGTTTGGAATTGGATTGGGATCAGTTTGGGATCAGGATTGGGATGAGGTTTGGAATCAGTTTGGGATCAGGTTTGGATCGGTTTGGGATCGGATTGGGATCAGGATTGGGATCAGGTTTGGAATCAGTTTGGGATCAGGTTTGGGATCGGTTTGGGATCAGGTTTGGGATACAAAACCGAACAACCCCTCTGAAAACTCCCTGTTGTGAAGAGGGGAGAATATTCACAGATCAGAGGGTGCCTGACACTGAACCTTTCCAAAATTAAGTTGAATTACAAAACCTGTCCTTCCTATTTTGGGGCATCTGGAACCTGGGAAGGAATTGTAGTTGGAATCTGAGCTACCAGGCAAAGCAAGCTTTGTTCTGGACTCCAAACACGTCCTGAAGCAGAGCTCGTGTTGCTAAATCAGAGCTAAGTGAGCAGGGTTTTACCTGAGTGAACAAACCAGAGCTTCTGGAAGAATCAAAGATACAGTGAAATGAGTTCTTCGTAAAATTTAAGGAAAAAAATACACAAAAATTATGTTGGCTGCAAGATCAGTTGCTTCTATTTTTGCCAACTTGGTTAAGAGCCTGTGGACTTCGATATAATTTGATTTTCACTCTTACAGGATGTACCTTTGGTAATACTTTTATCTTTTCTCCATCCTCTTCCTTTCCCAGTTGCAACCTGAATTTTCTTTGGGAAATCTAATTAATAAATAATCTATCCCAACCCTGATCTAGAACACTTTAAATCTAATTTATCAGTGGATTGAGCACTTTTTCAGTGATTTCTGTAGGTCTGCATTGCACCCTGTTAGTTTAATAGCTGTGACATATGAAATTATGATTTATTTCAATTTATAAGATTTTTTTGTAATTTTTCCATAAGAATTTATTAATCTCTTTACAAGAGATGTTTTTTCTCCCTGTATGCAGACACTGTAAATATCTTCATTTACAGGGAATAACAATCCTGCTGATTAGTTGTTTCTCTAGTAAACACATGATTTATATTAAGAAAAAATTTAAGTAAAAATTTCTAATTTCTCTTGAAATTCATGAAATAAATGGGTTCCTTACAGACTGGGCTGTTATGTAAGCAAGCACCTCAGTGCTGGGGGAGAATAAAACAGAATTAATTATGGAAATGTGGATTTCTTTGCTGCCCTCTTCCCACATTCCCTCTCCTTAATTCCCACTCCATTCCTGCTTATTCTCCAGTTGCTTCATTGGGGTTTGGTCTGTGTTGTTCCTTTGCACTTGGGGCTGCTGCATAACTTAGAGAATTTCTGAATTCAATAAATGGAGCTAAATTTGGATCCTGACGAGCTTCAGTAAACTGGAGACTTAATTTGGGCAAACCAATTAAATGGCAGGGATTTCATATTCTCAGGTGCAGCAAAGGAGGAACCATTGCAGGGTTTCATTTCAGCATCACTTGGGAAATCAGTGAGGCTTTGGCCAGTTCTGAACAGGAAAATAAAATAAAAATAAAGTCTCATGGGAGAGTTTTTGCTCTTTAGAGATGCAATTTTAACCATTTCTTTGGGTTATTTCTGTGCCTTTCAGATGCTGTGCCGCTTTTCCTGAGACTGCTGCATTCACCTCATCAAAATGTTTGTGAGCAAGCAGTGTGGGCTTTAGGGAATATCATAGGTGGGTCTTCCTCCTGCC